AATTTAGCGGAAATTTTTTCGCCAAATTTAGCGGGTCGCTAAGGTCACGACGTCACAGCCACGTGTGACGTCACACGTGACATCACACGTGGCTGCGCGAATTGCATTATGGGATTTTAGGGGGTTTTCGTAGATCGTTTTTGGCCGTCCCACAACGCCCTCCGCAACCCGCTACGATACCCGGACATCGGCGCGCATGCGCAGTAGCAGGTTCTTCGTTGTGGAGGGCTTAGCGGGGGGAGGGGGAGGGGAGGGGGCGACGCGGTCGCGGTCAACGAAAACTCCCTTTTAGAGCGCAGCTCTTAGGGAAGGGGCCCGTTTCCGGCTTGAGCGGCGTCGCCGTCGCCGTCGCCGTCTGCGTAACCGCGCGGTGCATCATGGGAAATGTCCCATAATGCACCGCGCGAGCCCCCCCACCGGGGTCACGTGACCTCGTGGGGGGTCACGTGACCCCCCCCGAGGTCACGTGACTCCCCTGAGGTCACATGACCCCCTCCTCAAGGTCACGTGACCCCCTCCCCGAGGTCACGTGACCCCCCGAGGTCACGTGACCCCCCGATGACGTCACCGGCATCCACATCGTCATCGTCATCATCACTGATGACGTCACCAGCATCCACATCGTCATCATCACTGATGACGTCACCGGCATCCACATCGTCATCATCACTGATGACGTCACTGGCATCCGCATCGTCATCGTCATCATTACTGATGACGTCACCGGCATCCACATCGTCATCGTCATCATCACTGATGACGTCACCGGCATCGTCATCGTCATCATCACTGATGACGTCACCGGCATCGTCATCGTCATCATCACTGATGACGTCACCGGCATCCACATCGTTATCGTCATCATCACTGATGACGTCACCGGCATCCCCATCGTCATCGTCATCACTGATGACGTCACCGGCATCCCCATCGTCATCGTCATCACTGATGTCACCGGCATCCACATCGTCATCGTCATCATCACTGATGACGTCACCGGCATCCACATTGTCATCGTCATCATCACTGATGACGTCACCGGCATCCACATCGTCATCATCACTGACGACGTCACCGGCATCCGCATCGTCATCGTCATCATCAATGATGACGTCATCAGTGACGTCACTGATGTCGTCACCGGCATCCGCATCGTCATCGTCATCATCACTGATGACGTCATCAGCGACGTCACTGATGACGTCACCGACATTCGCATCGTCATCATCACTGGTGAAGCCATCAGTGACGTCACTAATGACGTCATCGGTACCCGCATCGTCATCGTCACGGATGACGTCATCAGTGACGTCAGTGATGACATCATCGGCATTGGGGGTCACGTGACCCCCAAGGTCACGTGACCCCCCCCTGGTTAGTTTACCCCCCCCCGTGCCCTTCCCTCCTCCTCCTCAAGAGCTGCGCTCTAATTCGGCGTTACAGGGAGTTGTAAGCGGCTTTCATTTTTTTTGGTCCAGCCGACGCAGGATGGCGCGTGCAACGTTTCATGGCGTCGGTTTCCTATCGGCGCATTTGGGCCAGCGGTCCTGCTGGTCCTATGATCTCCGGGTCTAAAGTGTGCAACTACCGCGCGCCACCATGCATTCCCATGCAGGGGTTTCCCCAGGAATTCAAATTAGGGGGGGGGGGGGGGGGGGGTAGGAAGGTGCATTCAGAAAAACAAGGGGGAAAGGGGTGTTCAGCCCCCGATGGTGCTTGTAGAAAAATCACTGTGCACATGATAGAAACGGGGCCCGAAAATCCGATGGTGCGTGTAGGGAAATCACTGTTCACATGATAGAGACGGGGCCCGAAAATCATAGCTTGTTTGTTTCAATATACTATCGAGGAATGCGAGAAAAAGCAACACATCCTTGCAATGTCATTCAAATAGCTGAGTTTCATTTTCGAAACCAACAAACTTAACAAAGTTTTTTGTTTTTGCTTTTTTCCTTTCAAAAAGCTGTAATTTTTTTTTTTTTTTTTTTTTAAGGTTTAGAACTAGTATCTGTAAAAATACTTTCCGTTAGGGTTCCACGCGCCGGGTTGTGGCGCGTTTAGATTTGGGCGACCACTAGAAAAAGGCGGTAAGGTAAACTTATATCTCAATACGGTCTAACCGTGCCGTAAAACTTTTATATATATATAAAAAAAAAAAAAAAGATCTTAGTAGGTGCTACAGGACGAGAAATGTCACTCTTGCATAATGCTTCAAAACAACATTAAACCGGCAAGGACCCCAAGCCGGCATCACTGGTGCTCTTTGTGCACAGGGTGTTGTTAAATAACAACCGCAAGGTTTCACCCAATACGAACTGTTTACGTGAGGCCGCGGGCAAAGCTCAGCCCGTCGGGAGCCAGTTGAGGTTACCCGAGCATCCACGTGCTTTAATTCCTCGTGCTCGTCTCTTTTTTCTTTTGGGTGTGCTTATTTTTCGTCTTGTCTGTTTACGTTCTTATGCTGCGCCGTTCCACGTGAGATTTATCGCCATCTCGTTGTCGGTTTTTCTGTTTCTTGCCTTCCCGAGCTCCGAGTCAGAGTTCAACTTACAACACAGGATCTCGGTTTGGAGCCGTACACAGGGGTGACATTCCTCATTCCTTGCACCGTAAACCGAGTATATATATATATAAAAAAAAAATCCTGTATTTTTCTAAAGCGCACTGAGTTAGTGCTCTGATGTTGCCCAGAAAGTTTCTAATCGAGACCATATATTTTATTCATTAACATGACTTATCCACGCAATCAAGCGAAACGTTCCTAAATAGGCAGATGTACCAATACAACATCAACTTTTTTTTCTAAGATGGTTATTTATATATTTATTTATTATTTTTTTTTTTAAAGAACTAAGCAAAAATTCCGTAAGAAAAAAAAAAGTTTGCATTTAGTGAAGGAAAATTTGAATAAGAGGTGTGTTTCAGTGCCGTGCAATGTCCTCGGAAATTTCCACGTGCACATGCACCCCTTCCCCAGCGCATGTGGAAGGGGCTATTCACAGTTGGCTATTCTTCAACAAAACGTGAGTGGTTGACACCAAGAGAAGGAGAATGTCTACGTTTTTTTCTGAAGTCCCATTAAACTTCCAGTTGTTACTAAGCGCCTGTAGGCCATAAGTGTCCTCTTTTTGTCCTCTATTTTTTTTGTGCGCTTTTTATTGTATCACGAAGCAACAATTGCACTTGAAAAGCAACCGACGCTGTCGCCATCTTACTGTTCAAAACAAGAGGTAGCGCCACAGAGATGTCTGGTTGTTTACGAAGGACGTTGCAACTTGAGAACAGTAAGAGACGGAGGAGAGCGGACTTCAGTGTTTGCTGTGATAATGTGCAACGAGGAAAAGGCTCCGTCTCCTGCTCTTGGCGAAAACGAGCGCCGCGCTGCACGGGTGATACAAATTCTGTGTCGCACTTTTGAATCATGACGATCAGCAGTTGCGTCTGCTCTGCATACGAGCCAAAATGGCGGCGCCCAAAACAATGTCGGGGAACGGAGTGCCGATACTCTAAGCGCAGCTCATTGAGTGGTTCTAACCGCCGAATTCAAGAACCTCACTCAAACTACAATCAAACTGAAGGGCCCCTCCACTTCCTCGAGGAAGCGGAGGGGCCCTTCAGTTTGAGTGTAGTTTGAGTGAGGTTTCTGAATTCGGCGGTAAGCCCCTCTATCCTGGGAAAAGTGGCGCCATTCATTGTTGTGGAAATGCTCGAGACACGTTCCGCGCGCCATTTCTGGGAAGATCATGGCGTCTGAAATCTAGCTCAGTGCTGCGCTGCGCCGCATCGATCTTCCCAAGGGCTGCACGTGGAACGTGCATCCACGCACCCTGCGCTGCGGTGAACTAGAACTTGCGCTACTTTTGAAACATCAAAGGGCTTTATGGGAACCTAGAGTCACTAAATAAAGCCAGAGCCGAATAAAGCTACGCTCTCAGAGTATCGAAACTCCCAAACTACGCGTCTGAAGCACGTCAGGCGCCGCCATCTTGGGTCCACGCACAGATGGAGGAGTTACTCTAGCTGAGCCAAGCCGAGCTTAGAGCGCAATCCTTTGATCCGCGTGTTTCGCCGACAACATCCTTGCACCTCCTTGCACGGAGCCAGCCAGCCAGCCATGGAGAATAGAAGGGTGGGAGAGGGCATGACGTCAGCCGCGTAGCCTCCACAAGCCACGCTCCCTTGACGCCTCGCCTTTTTCTCATTTTCCTTCTTACTCTCACCATATCACGTGACCATAGCTAGCCTTCGTCTAGCTACCTTCGATATGATAAAACCTACCGGACAGAGCACGCGCAAGCCTGCAAGAAATCTTCCTACCATCAACCATCCATCTCGCACGTGACATGTCACGCGCACCAATCGCCAAAGAGATCTGTGGTCACGCTGGACACAAAATCGTTTAAACTTTTTATGACTAGGCTTCACCAATATTGCGACGTGCCCCTCCTAGTACTTATAACCGCCTTGGAGCCAGCAGTAGCAGACGAAATGAGACGAAAACGCGTGGATGGATGGATGGATGGATGAATCCGGCTGAGCCCTTTGGATCGGGCGGCGCCACCTAGCCGCAAAAAGATCGGACACTGTTTCGGACGTTTCGGACCATAGAGATCAGTGTTTCGGACCCCCTCCGATGTTCAGATAACGGAGTTGATGTAGTAACGGTGGTAACGGTGTGCCCGACCAGAAAAGAAGCGGTAGCGCGAGGAACACGAGCGTACATTCCATCCAGTGATTCCATCGCTCGGGAGCATGGCCTAGACTCCGACATCCCGAAGCACGCGGAATCATCTCCGACCGTCCCACTCGTGCGGAGAGGGCGTAATCGGAAAAATTGCGGTGGCTGAGCTCACAGCGTCTGCGCAAGTTGCTGCGGGAGCTGCCGCACGACGCCCGTTTCCTTCCTCAGCAAAAAGAGGAAAGTGTGAGCTACACGCTAGGTAGCGCAAGCTGCCGCCCATTTTCAAAAGAGGTAGCTTATTGCAGCTAATTATTTATCCATACATAGAGTACGGTCGTACAGCTTACAGCTCCTATTTAAATCGCATGCTAGGCCCGACTTAAATAACTTGTTTTAAATGCCGTGGATTGAACGCTTAATCCACGTATTTTAGTTGATATTGTGACTGTCGCGTTGTTTGGGCCTAGCATTCGCGGCGGGCGTTTTTGTTTAGAAACAAGCTTAACAAAGACGGCGAAGTTTTGTAGAGAGTACCGCAACGCACGACCCGATTTTCGTTGAGAGCACTTTTCTACATTTCATTCGTTAAATGAGCATGGAAACTTCAGAGAACTCTCCACCAAAGAACCCATCTGGAGGAAAGCCATTCGTCAAGGCAAGTCTCAATTACTTTGTTTCTGGCATTGGAAGTCAGTTGGGGCAGCACTCCACTGCTTCTCATGAAACGGTTGCTGCCTCAATAAGGTTGGAAGCTGGGCTAGTTGGTAGTTGTTAAACATGATGAGATACAACAGCGCGAAAAGGTACAAAAGGAAGAGACAAAAACCGGGCAGGACAGAACGCTGAACTATGTATTTTTAGTGATAGAGAAGAAAGACTACGCATATTGTTCCACACGTTTACACGCACATCTACCGATGATATCTCCGCTTTACTGCACGCGCAGGACCTTCATTGTCAGTTTCAGGAATTCTAGCTCCTTACTGGACAGAGCCACTGACGCTGAGCTAATGCAGTTTTTTTTCGCCGCTGTAGATCTAGAAAGTTCCGAGCACTTCATGGGTCCCGTTTTCTTTGTGCCTTCCCAAATCGTGGTGGTATTGAAAGACGGTTCGCCCATGCACTCTTCACAGTGAACTGATAGGTGCCCTCTCAATCTGACTTCGAGAAAGTACTGTACCTGTGCTCACGGAGCCTATTGTTTAGGCAGCGTCCGGTTTGCCCAACGTAGGTGCGGCCACACGAGAGAGGAGTGCTGTACACAACGCCCGTTGCACATGGCACAAACTGCGGGTAACGTCTGAAAAATATTTGCGAGGGGTTCCAGGTACACTCAGATCTACGAAGACAGCTGGAGGTAGTAGGGAACTGCATTCGCTTCTTGCCAATCGATAAATAAACTTGTTTCCACTCTAGTCAACAAACCGTGCACCTGTCAGGTTTAGTTGATCGTAGCATTTTAGTGTGCACGGATGCACCTAAGTTGTCCGCACTCGTGTTAAGACCAACATGCAATTTTCTCCTGGTGAGCTTTTGTCCGGGTCTTTGAAAAAATGGGCGAGTTTTTATTTTGTGAGCTTTTGTGCAGTGAGCTTCTGTTTGGTGAGTTTTTGTCCGGGATTCCAAACTGCGTGGCGTGCTTCTTACTGCACGTGTTCTTCTTGATTCCCTCTGCCTTCATGTTGGCTCGGCGACAAATCTGACTCATTTTTTGTGGGGCTGAGAAAACCACTGGAATTTCATAGCGATGAAATATGATGAAATTTCATAATTTCATCATATTTTAAATTATGTGACACTCTGTGTACATGCGGGATGACCCCTGGCCGTTTCCTTTGCACACCGCGTTTTGTGGACTGGTTACCCTTTGTTCTTTTGAGCAGTGTGCTTTCCACGTCTGACAACAATGTCGACGGAAAGCACAGATTTTTGAGTTTGTCATTTTGCAACTTGAAGCTGTTTGCTAGAGTGTGGAAGCAAGATTTCTTGAGTGCTGAGTCTAGACATGTTAATGCAATGTTCCTCTTTACAATTTTTGAGTGTGTGAACATGTGGAACAGTGTGCATCGTCTTTATTCTTCTCTATCAGTGAAAATACATAGTTGCGAGTCAGCGCTCCCTCCTGTCCGGTTTGTCTCTTCCTTTTGTACCTCTTTGCACTGTTTTATCTCATCATAGTCACTGCTTCAGAGTGGCATAAATCTTGCGGGGGGGTGGGGGGGATTAGGATGATCAAGATTGGGAGAGGGTTTCGGATTTGGGATCGAAGCAGCAGTGCAACGTCAACGTAGGGAGAGCAAGGAGGGACTTGAGCCTGTCCTTTTCTTTGAAGAATGGCCTTGCACAACCAGTTGTCTAGATAACTTATTTTTTTTTTTTTTTTTATACACAAACTTGTGTTTACAAACAAATCGGAGTGCCCCTAGCGGACGCCACTGGTGCCGCACATGCGCGATGGGGGTGTGGGCAAGAAGCTCACAGTCGCCCATGAACAAACCATAGAAATGCGATGTTGTCGGCGTCGGTGTGAGTCCCCGCGCTCTTTTTGGCGTTGGAATTGTTGATTCTACGTCCTCCTAACGATGTCTGACTACTTGAGCGGCGTCGGCGAAATTACCGAGGTTCTTTACACCGCAAAACTTTGCGTGAATCGTCTGACATACAGTGATTCATTCCGCATAGACGCCGCAGAATGTACGCTAAAGCCTGATTCACATCATGAGATTTCGCTCGCAATTTTCAGTAGCGACGTCGCTCGGACTGCAAAAGCGTGAACCGTAGCTGAGATGTCGACGTCGATACTGAAAATCGGAAGCAGAATCTAACTAAATGAATCGGGCATAACAAGTCGGTGATGGCCACTGGTAACAATGATCAACATCTTGTATCTACTGTTTACGTCCAGCCTGCTTACCAACCTTCCAACTTACCTAAGTCTTTTGAGGCCTGCACTTACTTCTTATCGCAAGTACCGGGCCCACGTTTGGTCTACGGGCCGGTGTCCTCTAAAGGAGCAGACGAAAAGCAGAAACGTTTGAAAGAGCAGACGACAGTTCGAACGATCAGGCAGCCGTTTGAACTTGAAGACGCACTGAAGGTAGTCCGCAGGTGGTCTGTACAACTTGACGGTTTTCCGGTGTTCATTTTGGAACAAAACAAATAAATTTGATGACCAGAAGTATCCGTGAATTCAACCCAAAATGATTCCCGCCCAAGCAATCGTGGTCCGACTGAGTCTGGTTTTCCCTTTTCACAGCACATATCCACGTTCTCGGACGAACCGAGCTCATGAAAACTGACCTTCAAACCTTTCTCGACACTTTTGGTACAGCCCCAGTCGCAACATTTTGACGAGAAGGCAGGTTTTTGTCTGGTACCTTTCAAAACAACGCAGGAATACACGTCTCGCATGGGCACTTCCGCCCACAGCTCCGGACCGGAAGTGCGTCCGACGCGCCACCACCGCGGCGTGACGTAACGGAGATGAGTTCTTGTATAGAAATAACAGAAGGTACAGGCGAGCTGCTCAACTTTTATCATCTTGGAAGCCCGAACCCAAGGAACCAAAAAGGAGACAACACATACATGCGGTTTCGAGAGATGTGTGTGTCAACTCCTTTTTTAATTCCTCAGTCTCAAACTTCCAAGATGATAAACTTTTTTGAAATTTGCTGAACTTTTTTTTTAATTTTCTGCCTGGAGGCGGTGGGCGTATCTGTGAATATTGACAAAAAGTCGGACAAGAAAGTTTGAGCTGTTCAAGCTTTCGTATAACAAGTTACTTTTAACACATTAAAAAGTGCAGAAGCTTCCGCTAGGCTTTGCGCGTGTGACGAAATCTTATTAAAGGCGGAAAGCCAGCACAATCATTAATTAGCCAATTACAGTAAGAGGTATTCACTTGTTAATCTGCCATTTTGTTGGATGATGCCAGCGTGATTAGACTGCTTCTGTGCACTGCACAATCGAGGGTGTCGTGTCAATCATTGGAATGCTCACCTTTGGCAAGCACCAGACAGCTCACAACAACAGAAATATACACAAAATTGCGTCGGTGAATGCCCCCTACAGTTAGCTAAATGGGTGGGGAAAGAACTCCGACAAAGCTGACAAATTCCTCTTTGTTTATTCCAACTTGTGACTTTTTCCTTCTCTTCAGAAACTATGCTGTCCGCACGTGCACGTTATGTACGGACATCCTTAGAACGCGTGTAACATGAGGGAAAAACCTCTCCATGTGCACCCCGCCGACATTGCATGTGTAACAGGAGGGGGTTCCGCCAACCGCCGACGTTGGATGTATTTTTCCCCTAGGGCCGTCCCCATGTGGACACCTCTTAAATGGCAATAGTTGATATGCAAACTATTTCGTTCAGTACAGTTGAGCCTCTATTTTACGAAAGCTGATTTTACGTATTTCCCGATTTAACAAACTAATTCGGATCCCCGCGCAGCCTATGCCTGAACAATGACCTTCTTGATTTTACCAAGTTCCCAATTTAACGAAATGATTAGCGGGTCCTGGTGACTTCTTTAAATCAAGGTTCGACTGTATATACAGGGCAAGACTAACATTCACTTCTCTATTTTTCAAAATATGCACACCAACAAACTGTTATTAATTATTTTTTTAATAATTACGCATGCTATATGTAGAAAAAAGATTGTCATGTCACGCTGCAAATTATCCGTTTAAGTTATCTCCCTGTGATAATTTGAAATTATAATCGGATCCATGAATGGGGTATGCAAAGCCCTCTATAAAGTTTATTACTGTTAAATTAAAATTCTAAGGCCCATTTTTTTTTACTTTATTTTTAGTTTTTTGTTTGTTCCCTTGTGCTGCACTTGTTAGTTTTAGTGGTAAGAAGGCTTTTCTTCACACTGTGTTAACTTCACTACAATATATTATTTTTGTCTGTCGGAAAATCTTTGACAGAACGGAAAAGAAAAGCATGAATCGTCACTCCAACATTTTTTTTGTTTTCCTTCACTCCACAGCTCCCAAGCATCGACGATTTTGCCGTGCTAAAGCCCATAAGCAAAGGAGCGTTTGGGTGAGTGAGACTTTTTCAGCAGCTTACATTTATTTAATGCATTTATTCTGTTTAATGACGTCCTAAGAAGCTAAGCACCAATGCCTTGGAAGTCTGAAGAATGGGTCAGTGCATGTAGCTTAATAATTAAAGACTTGTTGAACTGCAGACCTAACTGAATAGTTCGGTGTCAAAGATCACTTCTTCGACAGTGCGCATGCTTCGGAGAAAGCACTAAGTTACATCATAATGTTTCATGTATGTCCTAGACCTGTTTGTTTCATGAATGTTTTCATGATGTTTCATGAATGTGTTCATGTCTTAGGCCCATTTGCTTTGTCTGGATCGTTTCTTAGCAAGATAAGTGGTATTTGAAGAGCGAGTCACGATGGAGAACGTACACACGAACGAAGTTTGATTTAGCGACAACAGCATTAGTTGCTATTCGTTGGCAAGGTGTGCAAGAAGATGAATTGTGGAGTCTTCGGCTTTGTATGTGCACCATTGGCATAGAGTAAAACACCTAGAGCTGGGATGCTAAGGCATTAAGACAATCTGTTGTAGGCACAAAGTATGCACCCAAAGTTGTGGTCTATGAAGGGACCTGTGTATGCATGAATTGTTGCTATTCATGGGGGCAACAGAGAGAAGGTTGTTTTCTTCCTGTGCTACTTGCAATGCTCCACCTCTCCTTTCCTTAGGTGCTCCTTAGCCACGGCAGCTTTTGTGCCATGAGCAGCAAGTCCAATTTGGATCCGATCCTACCCCTTTCCCCTCCTCTCGGTCATCTGGCTCCCAAGCCCCAGTACCCTTTCTCACAAATCTCTCACAGGGATGCCAGTCCGCTTAGAAATGCGCGACGCTCCAGAAACTTCCCTGATTGTACGGTTCATGTGCCTTTTATACAACTTTAGCTGCCGCCGGTAGAACTTTGGGTTGCCCATAACGACTCAGACTCGGAGTGCTTAGATTAATGAGCATTTCCAGCTGCTCGATCGGGGTCACGTGGTTTGCAATGCGAGCTGCAAGGAGGTGAAGAGTGCGTTGATAGTCTGCTAGCCTCTCCGCACACTTTCCTCCCTGCCCTGCGACAACGCGACGCATGCACAATTGCAACCAGCCTGCACAGGTGGTGTCCACCATTAAATTGCAGATGCCCTCTATGGTTTGAGTTGCTCTTTTTTAAATCTAGACTTTCTATCCAGACAAAGTGACGGTAGCATCCTCTTTTTACAGCAAAGTCTACTTGGCACAAAAGAAGGGCAAAGAGGAAGGCCAGCTCTATGCCATCAAAGTGGTTCAGAAGACTGACATGGTCCACAAGAACATGGTCGACCAGGGTGAGTCCTTGCCAAATTGATCGCCCAATCGTCGTCGAGACCGTTGTCTGGTTAATCTGCTCGGGTTCATTCTAATGGCAATTTTCTATTTTCTCGTTGGCAGTGCTGGCCGAGAGGAATGCCCTTGCCATGAGCCAAAGTCCGTTTGTTGTGCACCTCTTCTACTCCCTGCAGACAAGCGTCAGCGTTTATCTGGTACTCCGTTTTTTCTTATTGGACGTACACTTGTTGCACTGCTCTCCACCTCTTTGTCCTCTGCTATCGGACATAGACTAGCAGATGACCTTCACACATCTGCTAGTGGCACGACTGGCAGACTGAATTAGTGGCTGAACTAGCACAGGTGGAGGGGGGCGTTCACTTGTTGCACACTCTCCACCTCTATGTCGTCTGCTACTGCAAGTCAGCTGGCAGACGACATACTGGCGTCTGCTGGGGGCAGAACTATACTCCGCTTTACAACAATTTGGTGAGCTGTAAAGGCTGCAGCCGCCGCGTCCAATAAGAACGTTGGAGCAAGGCACGTGACAACACTCCGTGGTCTAGGCCACAAAGACCTCGTTACTTCCACAGCAACAGCGCCATCTGCAACAAAAAGTAGTCTTAGGCTTCTTTTTTTGTAACGTCAATTGAACTAGTACAACTGCATCGCTTGATTGAACTCGTACAACTGAGTCTCTATCAAGAATATATAAAAATACTCTCGGGACATACTGTTTTTGAGTAGCGAACGACATAGCTTCCGTCCTGTTGAGCGAAAGTCCTGGTTTGTTGGTGCGTTCAGGTGATGGAGTACATGATTGGAGGAGACATCAAGTCGCTCCTGCACACCTTGGGCTTCTTCGATGAAGGCATGGCACGGTTCTATGCGGCAGAAGCGGTGCTTGCCCTCGAGTACCTGCACAGGAGACACATTGTGCACAGGTGAGTGCACAAGCAGCAAAGAGGACATAAAGAAAAAAACCTCCCAGTCTATATCCTATGTTCTGGAGTTGGAGTTTCTAACTCACTGTCTTCAGAACAACTTGGCCTCTTTTGATGGGGAGTTGTTTGTGCAAAAAAGAGGTGTAATCACTGGATCAAGGGTGGCGCCAGTACTGTGTGATAATTTTCTTGCTTCGTGTGATAGGGCAATAGGAAAGTTGTTGGAACAGAATTACAGGCCCAAGATTTTTAGGTACGTTGACGATTTTCTAGTTTTAAACAAAGATCCTTTAGAGGTTGACGAGGATAATATGATCTGTGGAGTGCTTGAGGTTTTTAAGAGTTGTGCGAAAGGCTCAAGTTTTACGCATAAAACCGCAAGCGCTGGGTGCCTGCAATTTTGGGACCTGGGTCTTTTCTTTCACGATGACCATGTGTGTTGGGCGTTAGAGCCCCGATCAAAGAAAAAGTCGCTCCCATATGACGCGGCCCATTCCAAGCTCGTAAAGAGGGGAATTACCTCTAGTTGCCTGGCTGCCTCCTTAAAAAAAATCTTGCCCTCACAAGATGAGTTTTAGTTTTCAGTTGCAGCTAGACAGATAGCAGGATGTAAGGTTCCCTTCCCGGGTCTTCTGTGATGTTGCTGAAGGGTTGGTTAACAAGCAGAAGAGGCTTGTCAGGGGAGAGGAGGCTGAGAGTGCAAGGCCTGAAGTTAGACCTGTTGTCCTGCCTTATGTATTACATAAGGTCTCTCACAACCTAAAAAAGGTGGCGAATAAGTTTCGTATTCCTGTAGTTTCTTCCGCCCCAAACAAACTTTCCAAGCTATGCTAAAGAATAGACGATGCAGGAGTGCCGCGTGATGCAGAGGTGGTGTGCGGTAAGCACCATGCCACCAAGTTCCGGCAGTGTGCCTTAAAGGACACATGCAAAGGAAAAAAACATTTTTTTTAGACAGCTTAGATGGAAAAAGGATGTCATAAAACGATTTTACAACGAAGAAAAAAAATTTTTAGAGCTATATTTACGGCGCTATACGAATTTGTAGTTGGCGCTCGCGGGAGCCGCCGCTGGTCACGTGGTAGGCCCGCGCGCCGCCGCGCTGCGTCGCCGCCGCACGCTGAGCGTTCTGCGAACGCCGCTTCAACGCGTTTCTCCACGCCGCCGTCGCCGCCGCCGCACAAGTTCGTCTGCTTCGGGGCGCCGCCGCCGTCGTCTGGCCGGCGCACAGGTCTATCACGTCTGCTTGCGCTTTTTCAGGAGTTTCCTTTGGGCTTTAAAAGATACTTATTCATCTTAGTTTTTTGTTATACTTCAAACAAAGATGAATAAGTTACTTTTAGAGGCCATAGGAAGCTTCCGAAAGAACGCAAGCACCACGTGATAAATAAAGACCAGTCACGTGATAAATACAGACCACTTTTCCGCGGTGCCCGCGGGCGCCAACTACAAATTCGTTTTGCGCCGTAAATATAGCTCTAAAATTTTTTTTTCTTCGTTGTAAAATCGTTTTATGGCGTCCTTTTTCCATCTAAGCCGTTTAAAAAAAATGTTTTTTTCCTTTGCATGTGTCCTTTAAGCGTATGTTACCTACGAGGTCCCCCTGTCTTGCGGTAGGGTTTATGTTGGCCAGACAGGGAGGTGCATTAATAATAGAATCGGAGAGCACTCCGCCGCCATCAAGCAATCCCTGTCTGGCCACCTGGCTGTACATTGTGATAGGTGTGAGTGCCAGGCCAAGTTCAATAGTACCAAGATTGTGGGAAAATTGAACACAAAGTTGGAACGCGAGATACATGAGGCATTCGTGATAAGGACCCATAGCTCAAATCTGTATGTCAGTGCTCCTTCTGTTGTCCTGTCCGATAAGGAGCAGGCATTTATCGGTCATGCTACGCTCACTCAGCAGTGATGAGAGGCTTTCCAGGTGGTCAATAATGTCCATCATCTTTGCGCATGCGCGGTCTTATTCTTCATGTTATATGTTTCCTTTAGTAAAGTTCAGTTGCAAGTTATGCCTCATCCAGTGTACTTCTTTCTCTGTCCCTGTGTTTTTATTGGCGTATTTACCACCATGAAAGCATGTGGTTTTACGGCTCCGTGTCTGTGCACGAAATGCTCTTTTAAATACCTGTGCTGTGGCATTCGTTTACATCGCCTGCGGCGCCACCGTCGTACAGTCGCTTATCCCCATCAAGGACTCGCATATAGGCGCCTACACAATGTGCATCCTAACAGGCTTAACCCATCTGTACAAAAGAGTTAGTGTACCCACAAGATGTGTGAACAGGTTCCCTTTGGAGGTTCTAATTTTTTTAGACTACCACAAGACACAACAATGTGTATATATATAATTTTTTTTTTTTTTTTTTTTTTTAATTTTACACAGGACGAAGAGGTGCATTAGAACTTTCCCCGTCTTTTGTCCGAACCCATGACAATGTTTCTCTTTTTTTACAACTTTGGCACACGGTTTTGTCTAATGCTGCTTGCCATTCTTATTTTCGGGCCTTTTCAAAACGCGTGCCTGTTCACAAAAAAAGACAATGGGGGTGATTATTTTAAATGAGTTGCCCATGCCCACAGGTTGGTCCGACTAATAATAGTAGCAAAAAATGAAACATTTACAATTCCCTGTAGTGCCGAATTAGAGCTCAACTCTTAAAGGGGCGATGCAACAATTTTTGTACTTTGCGCAAATACCGCTTAAAACTGATCCCTGACGTTAATGACCTATGAAACACGCGTTCGTTTTTCACCCCACGCAATAGAAGTCCCAGAAAAAAAATTAAAGAAAAACGAGCAGCGTTCACCCCCTCAACTCGCAGCCAGAACAAGCGGCCACGCGATCTGGAGCCGATTATATGCCGCCAACGTTGATCATAGCCGCGCGCTGGGGTTGGCAAAGCACAGGACACGCGCTGAGTTCCAGACATTGTTATGGCTCGGCTATTGTGGTCGTTGCAGGGATTGGACACGGTCCACTACCCGAATGCATGTCGAGGCATCGATTGTCACGAGCCCAGATCGAATGCGTACGCAGTTTTCGCGTCCACTGTGTGAGCAGCATTTGAATATCGTCACCGCAAAGCTCAATGACGCATTCCCGGGGATCGTACTGTTCCATGCCATTGACCCCACAGCTCCGTCATCAAATTTCGCGAACGATCAAAAGGCGGCTTTGGAAGGAGAAGCTGAAAAAAAGCTCCGCTTTCATCCTTTGAATTCCGCCGTGACGAAGACGCATCTTGGTCAGTGGTGTTGCATTCGAGTATTCTTAGGTCCCACTAGTGCCAGGAAGCTGGTGTAAAGTAAGAAATATTCCTAACCAATGTCGTTGCACGGCCCCTTTAAGGAGAGACTGGAGGGGAGAGTCTGCCCTTCCTTTCCCTTTCCTTTTCCTCTTCTGCTCCCCTCCTATCGAGCGGAAAATTGCACCAAATGTCCCGCTAATTTTAGCGGGGAAATTTTTCCGCTGAATTCAGGAGGAAATTTCGGCTAAATTTTTTCCACCAAATTTAGTGGGAAAATCTTTTTGTTAAATGTATGGGGAATTTTTTCTGCTAAATTTAGCAGGGAAATTTTTCTGCTGAATTTGGCGGGGAAATTTTTTTGCTCAATTTGGCGGGGAAATTTTTCCACCAAAATTAACGGAAAAATTATTCTGCTAAAATTAGCGGAGAAATTTTTTCGCCAAAACTAGCAGGAAATATTTCCCTGCCAAATTTAGCGGGGAAATATTCTCGCTAAATTTAGGCACCGTCTGACGTCACAAGGGTGACGTCGCACGTGACATCACTCATGACCGTCGTGATGTCACGTGTGACGTCATTATGAGAACATCCCATAATGCAATGCGCAGTTATGCCGACGGCGACGCCGCTCAAGCCGGAAACGGGCACCTAAGAGCTGCACTCTGAAAAAGAAAAATAGATGCTTACTTCAGTGAGTATGGGACTATGAATAGCTACACTTCGTGCGGCATGGCAGCGAGCTGCCATGCTGCGCAATTTGTGAGCTATTCATACTGGCCGAAAATAGAGCGGGCCTTAGCAAGCTTGTGAAAATTATCTTCGAGCCGGGCCAGGTTGGGCGGGCCAGCGCCGGGCTGGGCTCCCAAATACCAGCCCGTGCTGACCTCTAGTTTCTCAGTGCCTCTACTCAGTGGTGCTACTGGTGGCACTCAAGTTTGACGGCGGTACCTGCATTGGGAATGAATTTTGTGGTAAGAAGAGGAAGGAAGAAATTTATTATTTAGGAGAACGTTGCAGGAAAGGAAGTTTGATCAGTAGACCGACCGCACAGAGCCGGAAGACGTGCTTGCGTCAACGAGGAACCCTGTCGATGCAACGACATGTCCCCGCGGTCTATTGGCGGCTCATTTAGGGTGCATTCGGAATCCTAATTCCACTTTTCGGTTGCCAGACACCCGCCAATGCTGGCTAGACCGGCGGTTTTAGTCGGCATCGCGGAGAAGTTTTGTGACCAGTAGCCCTGCCAGGTCTTGCCACCAACGCAGCTAAGCAGTTCAGGAGCCTACGAAGCTTGCAAACAGCAATTAATATACCGGGGAGCGATTTGGCCCTCAGTTACGCTCATCGCCGGGTGGCTTGGATTGGCTAAGTAGTCACTAATGGGCTAGTTGATACATTGTTCTTCTTGACAATAAGCGCCTCAAGACTGTCAGGAAGTAAAAGACACAACACTGAAGTTGCGTTTAAACTGAAACGACATACTTAGGGCAGGGATGGTGGAGAAACCCTGGCATTTCGGGGAAGCCCCAAGCTTCTAGGAACCCGGTTTGAGAACCCATGACTTGGAGTGTAAATGTTCCATCCCACGACTGTATTGCGGGTGCTGCCATTTTGTTGCCCGGTGCAGAGCAGGCTTAACTGGCGACAGATACAAATTCGGAAATGCGACTTCCCAAGCCTTCGATGCGATTTCGGGAAGCTCAGGCGACGTCGCGGGGGACCGTTTCACATTTGCGGAGGACCGAAAGCGTTTAGCGTAGTTTCGTATAAGGCCTCGGGTAACTCGTGACAAAGCGACTCAATAGCTAAAACGTTGTCGCTCCAAAGCGAACCTTGTTAGGCGACTGTGCAATCTGTCGCAGGTTCAGAACCACAGGACAAGCACCTCCCACATTCCCTCTGCTCACTGTTGTTGGTGGTTGCCCCCTCCCCATTCGCTCTCCCTCCAGCATTTGCTTCGCTAAAGTTGAAAGAGTGGAGGGATTTGTGGGAGGGGCTTTTGCTGCAATAGCGTTCGTAACCCATTTTGACGTCCCACTGTGGCAGGGTAGTGAAGAGAAATCTAGATGATATAAATCTCGCCGATTTGGCTACAACGATTTAAATTGGACAATTTTCCCCCAAAAAATACTGGAAATACTTCTCTATTTACCGTTTTTTCATAGTTGTCTGCTTCCCATCTAAATTGGGCAGCCATTGAAACAAAACAATGCATCTAGTGCTAAGAAAGTTACTCGTTTCTAGCTGAAATGATTTAAGTCGTGCAAGTGTGATTTAAATGAAGTGGATCTGATAGATCAAATAAACTTGATTTTCTGGATTTACTTTTTTCTTAAATTGATTTTTTTTTACCTTGCACTATGGCCTATTATTGCCCACTGGAGCAGTCTCTCTTTGACTGATCATAGGGAAACATGCAAGTCCAGTTTAATTGGTGTCATTTACCATGATTCTGCAGGGACCTGAAACCAGACAACATGCTCATCTCTCACACGGGTCATGTGAAGCTCACGGACTTTGGCCTCTCCGAAGTGCAGCACAAGCATCGTAGGTGACATTCAGTTTGTCTCAAAAGCGGAGCCACGCATGGAGCTTGGCGATTTGTTGGGTCGGCCAGCTCGCAAATCGGGAGACGTCATTCACCGAACGGGGGGTGTCAGGCCCGTTTAGCAAGCGCATCTTCTGGCCAACCACAAGCCCCAAGTAGTCTCCCAGCAGATGTAGCGAGCGAAACACAGTATAACCCCGAACAACGAGTCCGTTTCAGTATCGCAGAAGTTGTAGGTTACAACTCTCGGCGACAGGAGAGGCCGTGCACATGACAGTGTGGTTACGGGCATGTTCAGTGGTGAAATAAACGGACCTGGTCACTGAGGCATGTGCAATTTTCAGTTTTGTAACTCCACATTTCGTTTTTCTGGTCTCGTTTGCGAATGTAGTACATTGTTTAGATTACCGTCTTCTTGGCACAATAACTGCGGGAAGAAAGTGCAGCACTGTTTTTGCTCTTTTGCCATCGTAGTCACGACCAGGCCCTTGTTGACCTAGCCTTTTGTATACAGCTCTGCTCGAAAATAGGTGAGGCTTCGTAAGCGAGTGTTTTCTTTTAGTTTTGTTGACAACCAGCCATCCTGGTTCACAGTGGTTGGGGGAGTTTTTGCCGGCGTCTCTTGGCACGAGTCTCCGCCGCTGGGTCAAAGGCTCCCGAAGAGAGCCTCGGAAAATATTGGAATTTTTGTTTTTCAAAGAAGCATGAGTGGAAAGGGGGCTTTTTTACGGGACAGTAACGCACACTCGAAGCTGAGGAGACAAAATGTTTGGCAATTAAAAAAAAAACAAGGAATATTGTGAACAAATTTTTTATTGGTCGGCAAAGTCTCAGAAATGTTTGGGGCGTTCGAAAAACCAGTTACTGTACTCCCCCAGCTTTTCACAAACGTCTCCCGCTCGGCATTGGTGCTCGTCGATCTGGTAGAGTGTGCAATCTTTATGGTTCTTGTATCGATTGTGATGTACGGTGTGCAGTTGTCCTCCAAGATGTCCTGGGCACGCCAGCGGGGAGAGCTGCTCGAAGCGTGGTGTTCCCCAGCCGCACGCCGGGACAGCTCATGTCTCTCACATCCAGCCTGTCTTTTGTGAGTTCACTCTGTGTTCATAAACAAGTAAATGGACAAGAGTCTGCGACAGCATATATGGAACAATACACAATTGAACAATAATTCTACCCCACACGGCGAGCGCCGCTTGTCTCCGTTTTTGTTCTTTTAGTTTTCCGAGTGCCACAACCGTCGAAGTTGACGAAACATGTTTCTGTACACCAGCAAACGGACACAGCATCGGTGGCACTATATCTGGAACAATTTACGTAGTGTTACAGAACAGATATCAACAATAGCTCTAGCCTGTATTGCGAGCGCAGTTATAGAGGATAAAAACGCTAAAAGTGACGGACAAGTACCTAAGAGAAAGAGGAACACCACAGAGTGCTCTGTGGTGTCTGTCATTTTTTCACTTGTTCGTCTTTTTGGCCCTTTTATCCTCTACAATGAATTACCGAGCAGCGCAAGTACATTCCTCTGACGAGCATTGTTGCTCTCCATTCCCGTATCATCAGAGTCGACGAAAACGTTTGCCCGTGTTGCAGGAGAATGCTCTGACAGCGTGACGTGGGAAACATTTTCGTACTGCTACAATGCGTAGTTCAGCGGCGTGGTTGTAGCGCCGTCGTTGCCGTCTCTCGTTCTCAGAGTGCTGCCAGGCAACAGGTGAAGTTCCCCGAGCCGAGAGTCCGATCCAACAGGTTACCCGGCCAGTCCACGGACACAAGCATGCGGCTCCGCTCGTGCCGGCGTCGGCTGCCCAGGGGTTCGGTCGAAGTCATGGCTTCCCCCAAAATGGCTCTCGCCAGCCCCAGGCCCGTTGCCCAGAAACGAAGCATGGCGACTTCCCCGCTGCAGCTGTTGAGTGCGTACCTGCGAGGTCCTTTTCTTTGAGGTCTGAAGGGACACGGAGGCCTCTGACGAGACGTTTATGTGTGTTATAGACCTTTTCATCTCAGTAGTGACCTGACCGGTGGACAGAGGGGGCTGACTCGCGCTGCGTCATAAGGTGGCTTCGATTTGGTTGGTTTCGGTTTCAGTGGGCTCGCAATGGTGTTGGTGTGTTATGCCGTTTTTGCTTAGTTTTGTGGTATAAATATATTCCCTGTGGTACAAAATCAATGATACAGTGGTAATGGGCCAATTTGAGAAGTACGACATAGTTACGAGCCTTAATTCGGGACGTTTTTACGAGCGCCTTCATCTGATCACGTTCTTCATTTGGCCAGGTTCGGCGACAAAACGACTGAAACGATGCCGAGGAAGGATTACGGATGTCTACGGCCATATTGGACGTACCCGCTGATACTAGTTTGCATACAAATATACTAATGCATGAAGGCACAGTAAAAAAGCAGGTCGACGACCTGGCTAACACTGTGCTGACTTGCAGAAAGCGGATGAACTCGCAGTTGCAAGTTCAGTGCTCACTGTTTGGTGTTCGAGGACATCAACGTTTTGGGAAAATTGACGACCAGGAAATCCCCTCCTGTAATGACGCATGGAATGCAAAAAAAACGAGATTTTGTCTCCATTGGTTTCTTTAAAGGAATTTAGTACTCAAGAGATGTTTCGATGGTCCCTCCTAGGCCGATCAGGAAATTTTTTCAACTATCAGTCCTGCTAAAGTATTAATTGGCGGCATTTTACGATGTTAACCTTAGGAAACTACAGTAAAACCTCGTTATAACGAAACGGGATATAACAAACTAATGGATATAACAAAGCAATCATAATTCCCCTTGCTTGCTAACAGTGGGAAGAAATGGACATTGGCTATAACAAACTAATGGTTATAACGAAATAATTACGACCGCTCCTTCAACTTCGTTATAATGAGGTTTTACTGTATTTGTTATACGGACATTTCCTTACAACTTATTGAGAATATGATATAAGGGACAAACCCATCAAGTGAAGTCTGACGTCTGTCTTCCATATAATGTGAAAAACGGAATTAAATGGTGCAAGAGAAGTGACTTCCAGCAAGCTTGTCTCTATTCAAATGCCAGGCACCACTTCATGAATTTGGGTAGACGGATCCTTAGTTGTTTCAACAGATGCGCTTTTTACTTTCAGCAGCATCGAGAATAGATCCGACATTGACAACGCTGCACTCGAGTGATTTCCATGCAAACAACTTCTTTTCGGCACCGCATATTGCGTGCCCCAGGCACTTTTGTCAGGCACTCGCACACTATCTTTGACACATTTTTTTTTGCCTGAGGACCCCTAGCCTTTGTGTCTAAATAAACATTTTGAATTGGATATTTTAAGAAAAAGCACAGTGTATAGTTTCTTTAAATTCATAAACAAACAGATCAGGTGAATGTTCATACCACAAAAATGGTTCCCCCATATAATCAAAAGCAACTGTTCTGGAATCGTTATAAAGGCAAAGCACAATGCTTCCAAGGAACACACATAGTGAATCCTTGTGTTGGCTATACTATTTGCCTTTTTCTTTAAGATCCTAAATTTGTGATTATAAATATACCTTGCGCTTCTTATTGCACCACAATCACTTAGCCACTGTCACTTAAGCCATTCTGCACTGTCATAAATAATTGGCCTCTTGGCCCTCGTGTGCATTAAGTAATTGCATACTCAGTGTGCGCCAGTGCTAACGCTGATTCCTTTCCTCACACATATCTGGTAAGCAAATAGTCAAAACCTGTTATTAAGTTAAGTACAGAAGTTGTGCACATGGTAATGGCATGCAGTTAGGTAGTAAACATAAGTATCAGACTACACTACACTTCACAAAGCAAAGCAAAAAGGTGCGGTAAAATGCGACAAAAAACATGAATACAGTAGACTCTCATTAACTCAAACTCCAGGAAGTCACAGATTTTAGTTCGAATTACCAGAAGTTTGAATTATTAGAAATTCACCTAAATGTTATACTAGACAACATTATGATTTGTTATATGGATAGCTACACATACAAAGATTTTTGCCAGTTTCCTCTACATAGGCCTAATTATAAGCAAGTAGAGGCATAACACATTGGTGAAAAAACTGTTACGTTAAGTTTATTCATCCGGCAAAAAAGTTGTCGATTGTGGACTATTTAGTCAGTACATGAGATCTCAAAACAAAATTTTCAATACCAGCCAGCGTAAGTAGCTTTTTACGGGACTCTTCCTTTGCAGACAGAAACTTCCGGAGCTGAGCGATGTACTCAAAGGCCTCTGCGGCTGTGACAGTTGGTAGTGGGTCATCCCTTTCTTCATCATCATCTTTACTCTCACTGCTGCACTGTGCTGGCATTACTTCCCCATGTCCTCTAGTGAGTCATCACAACAAACACAAACGTCGTTGTCAAGACTAGCAGATTCTGCCAGCTCGGCGTTCACATTATGTGCTTCAAGGCCAAAAAGCATGATGCCAGTGAGCTGTTCCTCATCCTCGATGTCGTCTTGGTCATCATTGCTAGTCTTGAAGCACATAATGTAAATGCCGTTTTCCGCTAATGTGTGCCTGCTTGAGCCCCGTTGAGTGTGCTTCTCTCCGAGCACCGGTGCACTGCGGAGAAGCAACACTCGCAAAAACAAGGTTCGCTGGTATTGCTTCTCTGCGGTGCACCGGTGCTCGGAAAGAAGCGCACTCTACAAGGCCGCGAAAACAAAAAAAGTATGTATTAAGCGAAAACGCCGTTCGAATTAAGCGGCTTATAAATACATTAAAAACATAGCGGGACAACCAAAATTTTTAGATCTGTTTGAATTAACCAGAAGTATGAAATATCAGAGTTAGAATTATCGCGAGCCTACTGTACAAAGCTTCCTTTGCCAGGGCGTAAAGGTGAGAGAGGAGCGTTCAGTTGAACCCACCTTATGGTAGCCGCGTCACGTGATGCCAAGATGGCAGTGCCCATGCAACTGAAGGTGTTAAGGTCTTTATGCATGCACGACTCGCAAGGTCCGATGGTTGCAAAAAAAAGTACATCTGCCTGGCGTTTTTTTCCCCCAAAAGCCACTGGTCAAGATCTGGCCTCTTCAAGCTTTTTCTTTTTTTATCTTTTTTTTCTTTGTTACAGGCGAAGACGGAGCACAATTTTTGTGTATCTTAGATCTAATCTCTAAAACATCTTAATTTCTGAAATAATAAAATAAAAATATATTGTATAAAAAATTAAAAATGCAATACAAAACCGGCGTTGAGGGTTTTTCACTAGATTTTTCTTCCTGCGTCTTTCGCATTATTGTTGCCAATTATACACCAATGTCGCATTGTTGTAACCCACTTTTCAAGCAGGTTTTCCTTTGTAAAAATATCAAATTGCCCTCAATAAAGTGTGCTGGCAGACATAGCTTCCAAAACAGTGTAGTACTCTGTGCTTTGATTACTACTTGACGCCCCAGAAACTCTCTAATCCAGAAATTCAAGCTTCTCTGTTTCAAGATCAACGAAGGAGGTGCTTCAAAGTACCATTGAAGCACCTCCTTCCCCGAACGTTACGTCGTGAAAGGAGTTTTCGGAATCTCCGCTCTCGCGCATCTGTAGCGCCTATCAAAGCTATACAGGCGAACTCTCGCTATTTTCATAAAGGTCAGAAAAGAGGCGTCGCGGCCGATGTTAGTACAGGGAAATATAGCCAACAAGCTTGCAATTGCACGCGCTGCCCACACGAGCGACACACGCTTGGCGGCGGAAAAAGTCTTTTGACACAACTGGTCAGAGGTTCTTCGTGTTTTCTCGCGTTCTAGCTGTATCCTTGGAAAAAACGAACGTGATATTCAGATTCACGGGATGAAAATACTGTCGAATTCACCCCAAACTAGTTTTTTCAAGAACTTCTTTAGCTTCCCTAAAAAAGCAGGACCGATCCCTCCATTCATGGAGAGCTCTTTGCTCTCCGTGATTGGTCCCCACTCACCTTCTCACCAACGTTTGGTCTACTAAAATGGAAAGAGTGGAGGGCTTTGTGGCACATAGGAGTCGCGAGTCATGCTGGAGGCTCCAATTTATATTTTATGTTGTGTGTATGTCTCTGCTGTAGAGGGGCAATTTAGCCAACGCAGGACCACTGGAAGCTCGGGGTCTATAACGCGCATCAGTCAGTAGTGATTAGCCATGGGGCGAAACTCCGGAGGTTCAGTTTCTGACTGTTTCGGAAGATTCCGAAAGATTTTGTAAGAAATTTCGGTTGTTTCGAAGGTTTGGCAGTTTCGTTGCTGTCTAGCCAACATGGCGTTGTTCCTTTTGTTTTTTTTGGGCGTCGCGAGTGTTTAAAGACTAAACCTTGATGCAGACCGAAATTCAATAATTTTTTTTACGAGGTTGCCCGCAGTGTGGGGGATCTTCGTAGATCCTACGATCCCATGCCGAGGCTTGCGAGCGCTTTGACCCATCGAGCTCGTTCTTGATCCGCACTCTAAGTGACGGCCAAATGGACGGTAAAAGCTCAAAAAGCAAAGCTCTATGGTAGCTTGTGCTTGTCCAAGTGTGAGAGCTCTGGGTGTAGTGTGTAGGCCTCCCTAAAATTGTGGTCACGAATGTTGGTGTGAAAGGTGCCCAACTGATGAATGAGCAATAGACCTCTTCGGGTAAGCAATGGATTAGGATCTTTTTGTAAAACTAGGAATAGGTTGCATAGCCTCTACAGCAGGTTGCGACGGGAAATGAAGCAAACTTCGTTCATTTGTACTGTGCGAATAGCTTTAGCTTCACAAAAAGGTCACCCCACCGTTTGTTTCGTGGCCTGTGCTGCTGTCAAAAATAGTCGCTCGATGCTTCCCCTCGGAAACGTGTGCAAGTACCCGCCAGGGTGTAAGATAGACAGGTGGGGAAACGAGAGACAAGTGAGCGACCGGATTGTGTCCCCCTCGGTTTTCTCTTTCTGTGGCGCCATCTATGTGGAGCACCGCAAACTCTCACTCCAGGTGGGCGACCAGTGGCGACCGGCTAAACTGATGGAGATGGTTTCTCGTGAATTTTCAATAGAAGACTGTCGTGCTCTCGGTTTGTTTTTCACACTCTCCCATAGAGTTCCATGCAAATCCTATTCCGATTTTTTTCCTCTCGCCGCAGCGCCATCTGTCACGAATTGGGAGTACCCGCAAGCAGACGAGTGCACAATCCGGTCACGGCACTGCGGTAGGCTTCTATGGGCCGTTTCCCCACCTGCCTATCTTACACCCTGGTACCCGCGTTGATGGTATATCAATTTTGTTGGCACCAACTGTAGCTAGATATACAATGTTTAACCCTTATGAGCATGATGCACGTAAGAGGTACAGGAGGTTTCAGGGAGCACGAGCACATATTTTCGATTGCGTAACACAGATGCCGGAGATGTTCAGACACAATCGCTTCCACCTGCCACCTGTGTTGTGTAAACCGCGACGTTCCCTGTGCTTGGAACAAACACCACATACGACGTCGAGCTATGCGGAGCTCACATTCGTCTGCTTCTTGCACTGGGGTTGCAATGATGTAAGAATGCCGAACTTTTATTGGCTGATTGAAAAATAATGTGTAGACCTCGAGGCATCTAGCATTGAGGTCTACCCCCATCCTTCCAGTCTAAGCCAATCAGATCTCTGCATCGTTCTGATGTCACCGCAACGCCTGGACAAGAAGCGGACGACTTGCTATCCACAATGATGCAAGGAAAACGAGCAGCGCCATTTGTGATAAAATCGATTTCACCCACCTTGGTTTGTTTTGGTCCCCCCCGCAGGTCCGAGCCCGCTACCCGAAGCAAAACGTCTCCACTTCGACCTTGAGCTGACGTCGCCGCTACGAAGCCCGCTGCGTAGCCTTCGGTGGCGCAGCGTGCCGGGGTCTCCCGCCAACAGCCCCGAGTGGATGGTGGTAGCCAATTGCGGCAATAACAGCGGCGGCAGTCACGACGATGTCTTCACCTTGTGCCACTCCGGCGAGAGACCGCTCGCAAAGAGCTCCCCCGGCACTGCTCCATCAGCGTCGCCCCTCGCGTCCACGTTCCACACTCCGCAAGACCAGCGTGTCCCTCCGCCGACGCGGACCCCCAAGTCCGTCCGGGGTCGGCCCCTCGAGGGGAGGATCCTCGGCACTCCGGACTACCTCGCTCCTGAGCTGCTCTTGCGGCAGGAGCACGGTGGGTGGCGACGCAAAATCGGAGCTCCGCTAGCGTATTTGCTCTAACGAATCGCGGCCCCCGTTTACTATAGGACGGTTTCATGTGGCAAACGGAAGGCCCCCCCTCCCCCCCAGAAAAAAGTCTATTTACGGGGTTTTTTGTTATTGCAAAAATAACCCATGCGTTGCCGAACGCTCATTTTTTGCCCGACTGTAGCACAATGCCAGATAACTAACCGGTACCTCATTCAAACTAAGCGATTTTCTAAAGTTTTCTATGGAAAAATGGCGGCCTACCTTGGCCTTTGAATTTAGGAAGCTGAAAACAGTAAATCACTTTTTTTAATTAAATTTTCAGTAAATCACTCGACATTTTCACCAGACAATAGATAGTTGTGAAGTTTTGGCAACTGGTTCAGAGTTCGAACCACTAGCGGTACATTTGGCCGTAGAACGAGCATTCGGCTATGCATACTTTATATTTGTAATAATAATAAAAAAAAGTGGCGTAAATTTATTTTGAGGGCATGCTGCACTTGCAGTTTGAGCTCTTGCTGGGTACACCATGTTGATGAACTTCAATTTCTATGTCTTTCTATTTGTGGGGGCAGCGTTTCCCATGTCGCTCGGCATCTTTTGCGTCGCGATTGACTGCACCAGCAAGAGTAGTCGGGAACATGGAAAAGAGGGGCGGCTGGTACTCGATTTGTATACAGACTGGTCTTTATTTGGACTTCATACGAGTTGACCTGTCAGAGGCCAAAATGGTCCTGGTAGATAGCTCCGGGGCAACTCCAAAAGGAAAAAAAAAGAGCAGTGGAGGCACGGGGCTGTGCGTCCCCAAATTCGTCTTGCCAAGTTCCGTCGTCAACGGAGCCACTCGGCCGCGCCTGCGCGTTTCCCCAGCTTCAAAAATGACAGCAGTACTCACCGTCTGCATTCAAACTAACAGGGAAAGCGGCAGACGCCGTCTGAACAACACAATTAAACGCAGCTTACTGAAAACGAACAGGCGTTTCGTGAAACCGCTTCATGCTTTGTTTTACACCTTACGACGGAGCGCAGTGGAATGGGCCATCCCTGCCAATCCAGTGCTGTCGACGTATTTTGGGTGACTATTTGCTTCCTGCACGTTGATGCGCCCTGCCCGAAGGTTGCGCACTGCTCGCGTGGCATTGCATTGGCTTTGACGGCCTGTAGCATCCTCTGTGGTCGGTCGTAATGTGAAACGGAGTACAGCGAGCACTGTGCATTGAGTTTCCCAGCGACGCTCAAAGAGAGAATATCGGGGCAAGATGGGAAACAAGCGGGTCGAACAATGAGGCGGCTCAACTACTGAGATATGCCGTACATTTTTTACACGAATATTTTGTGCATACGGCGGCACCGTTCTATGTCGTTTTGCATGGTTCGAGCCTTGTGGGTATATGTTTCTTTATTTCTTTCTTTACATCAGTTTCGTAGGCTTTTTTTTTTATTCTTTTACTTCCTTTCGTAGATAGCAGTGATGTCCTCTGTGTGTCCTCAATGGAAAGTGAAGCCTCAGCTTCGTCCTTAAACGGTTCAGCAAAGTTTCTGCTCGTTGGCATTATCGGGTACCATCGAGCGTGAATGTTTCAAGACTCTTGGCGACCATTGATGTTTACAAACTCCATTGGAGTTCGAGCTTTATAGTGTGTAGCGAAAAGTTTTAGGTGGCCCTAAATTTGGCAATGTCGAAGAATGGCAAAAACTGAAATTTTGACAGTGAAAGCTGAATACGAGAAATCTTCACGTTCTAGATTCACTCGCACAAAGCGTACAGCTAGATGCAGCACGTCTTATATTTTGTACAGAGGTTTATTTTACTGGTTGTAGTTTCATTCTGTGAATTGTCAAATCGCCAAGGACACTTAGACGAAGAGTAAGGGTGCACACAAGCTAGTGAAGGTTAATAGTCGTAATCTACAAGATCCAAAAACTGGAAGCAACTCTCAACATGGAACACTTGCGACAAGTTCTCTAACAAGCCGTGCTTAGGGCATCGTTGTTCATGTGTTGTCCTCATTCTCACAAGTTTTATTTATTACGAATAACTTGATATGCATCTTGCTCTGCACTAGCGATACTTTGAGGAGCTCCCAAGAATGCGGTTTTTGTTTTGCCAATTCTTGCAACACTTTTTTACAGGAGCGGCTGTGGACTGGTGGGCACTTGGCGTGTGCCTGTACGAATTCCTCACGGGTCTGCCTCCGTTCAGCGACACGTCACCGGAAGCTGTGTTCAACAACATTCTGAGCAGGGGTGAGCTTAGATCCCTTTGTTCATTTTTTTTTTTGTAAGTTTTGCCAGGTGCTACTCAGCGAAAACGATTTTCACAAAAGTTCGCCCAAAGATTTGTCTTTTTTAAGTACTTTTCAAGCCACCTCTGCTTCTTGCATTCCGCTAAATCTTCAGCCGTGGTGGATCTCTCATCATATTCAGTGCATTCCCAAATGACATGATTCGTGCACTGCACCTCCTTGCAATTCCAGCCTTTCCTAAGCCAATCTGTGACTTTTCACTTGCTGCCTCGCACAAAAACGACGATGTCCGCTGGTTGTGTTGACCTAGGGCCGTTTCTTCAGAGTGTCGATTGTGCAAATCCTAGAGAGGTAACAGAATGCCTGCACGATCAGGTCGGACTCTACAGATACAGAGCAGGGGCCAGATGGATGTACCCCACTTTAGATAAATTGCAGTACATTAATCTTGGATGCTCTACCTCTGTAATTTACCACAAACGCATGTTCAGGTAGTCGATTTGTTTTACGAAAATATCTGAGCAAGGGCTTGGATATTTGCACGGCTTCTTGGGGGGTGCCTGCGTGTTTTTATCGCTCATTTTTGATGGGAATTGCACCATTGCATCTCGAAAGATTGCCCACATCACATCTTTTACCACTTATCCTTTCACCCTGCATGGGGTCTTGTTCGGGATTTTACAATACCGAAGTTTTCACAGTTTTGTTTCGCTGCCATAGATCTCCAGTGGCCTGAAGGCGAAGAGGCGCTGTCTCAAGTGGCTCAAGAGGCAATAGAAGAGCTCCTCACTCCAGATCCAAATACTCGACCCGGATCGAAAGGTGCGCACATTCTCGTCCAGATGGAACAAAATCGAAACAGCATAGACCTTTCCCAAAATTCAGTATGGTCACTTTGATCAGAAAATGGCGGTCTTCTCGTGGCTAGTAAAGCAAGATATTTACACAAGAAACTTGCGTGTGCGTGCAGCAGCATGCCAAGCAAAACGGAGAGGTCAAAATTCACCCGCAAGTGCACCTGCCAGCCTGCCATTGTGTCTGTTCACACCGCGAAAACTGAAGTTGAAAAGGCTCCAGAGCAAAGGGTACATGGCCAACTCATTCAAGACGTTAGTACAATGTGACACACAAATTAGATACAACCGTTGACAGCATTTTCTTTGGACTCTGGTCCATTTAATCTCTTGGCACAAAGTCGTCCCTAAAGTCCCCTTGGGGGCGGGAATTTCATAGAGGGCTTATTGAGTCAGAGCTTAGCGATGGCCAGTTTGATTCATATTATCGAAACTGGAACAAGCTTAAAAAGAACTGTGAGGTGAAGACCGCATCTTTGTCTTCCAGTGACCCGGGAAAGAGACGGTGCCAGATGAAATTTCCGATCGTATTTGTACGGCAAAAGTTGAAATGTTATTTTTGCCACCAGATGGCACTGAATTTTGGAAAGGGTGTATACATAACCAGAGCCTTCCAATACTCTTTGTGTAGTACTACATTTCGTGATGTCGTCGTCTACGTCTCAGAATGGAAACCAGCAATTGGGGGCCATTCATTATCCACTGTTCATAAAACGAATTGGGCTTAGTGATGCGAACTAAAAGAAGCCATTCATGCCGACGAAAGCGTAATCTGGTTGGCCACTCTGCGTTGTTGACACTAGTCACCATCATCTCAGGATACCGCAGCCTGCTTGAAAGCTAAAATTAGCATCTCGATTGATCTCACATGGTCACGTGATCGAAACAGTCGGACACCTAGGGGGAAGACTGTCACTCACGAGCCGTCTTGTTTGCTGGCTGCCATCTATAAAGGATGCATGGGGTATGGAACGGGAGAAGATGTGGCAAGTTCAGTGTGCGCTTTGTTCGAGTGAGCTTAGCTGGCACCACCAGTGCACATTTGGAGCTTGAATGATCTGCAAGTTTCAAATGGCCACAGAAGAAACCACCGCTCTTGGCTTCGTTTCACTGGTGGCTTTTATTTGGAACTCGCTGGTGGAGGGGGGCATACACACCCGTTGGTGACGGAGCGGTGCCGCATGCAACTTGCAGAGGTTCGTGCGTTGCCCCTGTTCCTCGGCCTGACGTGGGATAACCTTCACGAGCAGACGGCCCCCTTTGTGCCACGTCCCGACGACGCCACGGACACGGGGTACTTCGAAGGTGAGAACCGACGTCTTTCAGAACTTCGGGGAAGGAGTCGGATTCAGTTTTACAATGACGTGCGGTAAGCCAAGGAATAATGGTGACGACGGAAATTTATAAAGGAAGCAATATCCCCTTCTTCAGTCATTCGTGTTGTGGCATTTCTTGTTGTCTGCAGACTTCTAACATATTTTCTACATTATGCAATTTTTTTCAAAAATATAATTGCATATGCTATTATTATGAAGTAAAAACTTAATAGAAGGTATCGTGACCTGTGTGTTTTTTGGGTTCTGTGTATGCACATGTAGTATGCAAGTCTCAAAGCGAAAAAAAGTTGATTTTTTCACTTGATTCGTTTCTGCGAATGAAGATCCTTTGTAATTCACATAGTGGAGCGAGGCCAGCACAAATCTTTGTCGTACTAACATCTCGTTTATTCATTAAAGGACACATGCAAAGGAAAAAAACGTTTTTTTTAAGCGGCTTAGATGGAAAAAGGACGCCATAAAACGATTTTACAACGAAGAAAAATTTTTTTAGAGCTATATTTCCGGCGCGAAACGAATTTGTAGTTGGCGCCCGCGGGCACCGCGGAAAAGTGGTTCGTATTTATCACGTGACTGGTCTTTATTTATCACGTGGTGCTTGCGCTCTTTCGGAAGCTTCCTATGGCCTCTAAAAGTAACTTATTCACCTTTGTTTGAAGTATAACAAAAAACTAAGATGAATAAGTAACTTTTAGAGCCCAAAGGAAACTCCTGAAAAAGCGCAAGCAGACGTGATAGGCCTGTGCGCTGGTCAGACGACGGCGGCGGCGCCCCGAAGCAGACGAATTTGTGCGGCGGCGGTGGCGGCGGCGACGTAGCGCGGTGGCGCGCGGGCCTACCACGTGATTAGCGGCGGCTCCCGCGAGCGCCAACTACAAATTCGTATAGCGCCGTAAATATAGCTCTAAAAATTTTGTTTCTTCGTTGTAAAATCGTTTTATGACATCCTTTTTCCATCTAAGCTGTCTAAAAAAATGTTTTTTTCCTTTGCATGTGTCCTTTAATGAGGTTATAGTACAATTTTGAAAGTAAATATAAATGCTTAAAGTTTCCACGCCCAGGTCAGACCTATGACCCTCTAGTCTAGTCAGTAGTGAGTTAGATTTGGCAGCTTTTAATGTCAAGCTGCTGGAAGCATTGGTGTAGCCAGGAATGTTTTTTCAAGAGGGGGGGGGGGGTATGTGGTGCGCTGAGGTGGGTGGGATATCCATGACTTGGGGTGCAGAGAGGGGGAGGGGGGGTCAAAATGCATGTGTATAGTATACACTCCGTGCGGGAACTATAGGGGGCGCTTTGAAAAACGCGCGCAGCGCCGCTAGCGGAGGAGCTGGCGTTCGACTGTGAGGCGCATTCAGCAGCCTGCGGCGCCTTTTCGCATGCCAAACTATGGCGGCGGAAGCGCGCACGGACGAAACTTTTGCTTTTTGAGCCGATAAGTTGAGGGTGACGTTGCATGAGTGCTGGGGCAGATGGGCATTTAGCTGTTCTCCACCTCTTTTATATTGAGTTTAGTAATTATGGGTAATTTCTCTAGTTGCGGCCGAAAAAGGAGTTGGAGTAATTTTCCGAAAAACAAGACTGCCGCCACCTTAATTGCTCTGAGTGGGAAATTTATTTCGCTCGTCGCTGTAAACCTAGGACTGCTGGAACGATGATATTTGGAGGCGAGTGTTCACTAAGTTTGTGCACGAAGACTGCCAAGTTTCTTTAAGACAGCAGGTGTGAAAGTTATGTTTCTGACGAATAAAGAAATAAAGCTGTGCAGGATATCCAATATTGGACCCCAAATGTTGTGTTATAGCGGGCTGTGCAAAGTGCATATTTGGGCACACGGGTGCTTGGACTAGACAGTAACATGACACAGCACTTATTATGCAAAAAAAGGTGGCATAGGGAAGCCAGGAGAAAATTTGGTTTGGGCGGCGTAACTCAATGGGAACCGGTTTGGATCATGAAAAGGCTGTCAAGAGAATACCACTGGTCGGGGGAGGTGGAGACTTTAGAGGTAGGAAGGGACTAGTGGACTGTACTTCCAATTGAAACAACTTTAAGAAAGGTGGATCCGAAGCCGAGAAAACAAAGTTGTCGGCCAACACACGGTTTGGCCGCCAAGGGCTTTTTGCGGTCAACTGTCGTGTAATAACCTGTTGTGCGAGGTGCTGATTTTCGGCGCACAGGTACTTTGACATGAGCGTCACTTGGCACAACACTTATTATAACAAAAAGAGTTGGCACAGCGAAACCAGGTGGAAATTTAGTTTGGGCGGCGTAACTAAATGGGAACTGGCTTTGACCGTCAAAGGCTGTCAGATAATACCACTCATCGTGGGAGGTGCATACCTTACAGGTAGGAAGGGACCAGTGGACGGTACTTCCAGTTCGAACCACTTTGCGATAGGTGGCTCTAAAGCTGAGAAAAAAAAATGTGTCTACAGAACTCGGGGTATCAGCGTTTCCACAAGAAAGAAAGCACACCACATAAACTTCCGTACTCAAACGTCGATTCTCCAGTGATTCCGAGTTTCATTGTTGTTTTCTTTAGATTTATATTCGTCACTTTTTTTACCTTTCGAATCTTTCTTCATGATGTACAGATTGCGTGCCATACTTGTCCGGAAATATCATCGACACGTACGATGGGGACGAAACTTCTTTGGAGGGCATTCCTCCAACGAAATTGGCACTGCATACCTGGGAATGTGGGTTCGTCCCATCGGCGCTGACTCATGTAGGCGTTACTGGCGCGAAAACAAACGCAGAGCGCAAAGCGGCAGTGTAGAATAGGTCAGCCGTGCCGACACAGTGGCAGACATGATCGGGAGACCAAATTTCTCACGTCGTACGGCACGGCTCCATCGTTGTCGCTGTCCCACAAAACATCGGTGAGGTGAAAAGCTGTGAAACTTTGTCTCCACGAGATACGACGCATAGCTATTGAAGCACTTAATGACGCAGCACATACAGCACTTCATACTGTGAACCCAGCGCTACCGCACCACTCCGACTTCAATGCGTACCAACGTACGCCGGAGTGATTTCGGTTTCGTTTTCTCTGGGGTTCTCGCTGCCTACTTTCGGTACCGGCCGCGCGGCGGCGCGCCAGTCGCGTCGCACGGAGTGTATAGGGTCGACTGGGTTTTGGGTCAAGGGGGCGGGGGGGCTGTAGCCCCATAATTCCCCCCTTCCCCCCCATTGCCCCCTGGCTAAAAGCAAACAATGTATTTGCTTCTATTGTTTTAGAGCGCAGCTCCTAGGCGCCCGTTTCCGGCTTGAACGACGTCACCGTGGGCGTAACCGCGCAATGCATTATGGGACGCGTGACGTCACTGATGATGGTGACGTCATCACAGTGACATCACTGATTACGTCATCATGATGACAGTGACGTCATCGTGATGACGTCATTGTCACGTGACCTCTCAGCGGTCACGGGGATCACGTGACCCTCGTGAGGCAACGGCGACTCCGCTCGGAGGTAGGAGTAGCGGACAGGATGAGGAGGAGGGAGGAGGGGTGTACCCTCCCTTCAGTACCCCTCCCTCCTCCCCCTCAAGAGCTGCATTCTAATTCGGCATTACAGGAAGTTGTAAACGGGTTTTTTTTTCTTCTTCCGAAGATCCTATTTTCAATTTCAAGACTGATGTGATAACGTTTTTGCTGTCCTTTAAGAAACAAAAAGATTTAGTTATTTTTTGGAGCAGTCAACTATTCAAACTCTTGTAGTAGGCAGCATTCAGTGCAATATATTCATATATACTTATTTTTTTTACAGCTCGCAATCGCATGCAGCAGCTCAAACTCTCCAGCTTCTGCAGTTAGCAGTCTTTCCACCCTGCGTTTGCCTGAAGTTTCCCGCCTCAAGATGCTGGCCGTCCAACGAGGATGGCCGCCCGAAGCCATCCAAGATTTTATCCCCGCTTACTCTACCGGGTGATTCAAGGAGACGGCAGGCTCTTTAAATCGACCGTAAAATTCCGTTTCTTAACGTATCGCGCTACGACTTTGTGCAGCGTTGCCCACAGATGGTGCATTTTTTTTTGTAAAATTTGCAAAGAGCGAACTTACCTGAGGAAAAAGTAAAGAAAGAAAAAGGCTTAGCTCCTATGGAAACTCAGCGACGCCACCGGTCTTCAAACAACACGGCGCCGTTTCGCACAAGAGACAAGAGATGGCGCAAGCGGTCGCGACGCCAACTGCCGCCAACGAGCGAGCAGACGACGCCGGGAGCCGGCGTATCTAGCAGACAAAGAGCTGCAGTTCCGTGTTGTTACCGCACCTGTTTTTGTTCCTGCGACTGTCGCCGCCCGCGGAACGCGCTCCGCTTTTGAGTCGAAAAGATTGTCTGCTAAAGTTGCTGGCTCTCGGCGCCGTATGCTCGTTCATTGGCGGCGTTCGTTGCGCCATCTCTTGCGTCCCGTGCGAAACGGCGCCGTGTTGCTTGAAGACCAGTCGGTGGCTTCGCTGCGTTTCCATAGGAGCTAAGCCTTTTCCTTTCTTTACTTTTTCCTCAGGTAAGTTCACTCTTTGCAAATTTTACAAAAAAATATGCACCATCTGTGGGCAACGCTGCAGAAAGTCGTAGCGCGATAGGTTAGGAAACCGAATTTTCCGGTCGATTTAAAGAGCCTGCCGTCTCCTTGAATCACCCGGTATTTCGGTTTTTATCTTTTATTTATGGAGAGAGAAATATATAAACATAAAACATGTCATAATTCTACAACTGCTATCTGTCTGTCTGCTGTTCATTTTCAAGAGTAAGCCACATCGATTGATGGGCTTTCTTGTGATGGTGACCTATCACAAAGTGTTTATTGTAAAGCCTTGCAGAGCTATGGATAAAGCTAGACGAAGTTGAGGAATGCTTGTCCTCTAAAATGTACATGTACATTGAGAAACCACAAAAACCCTGATGTGATTATTTTTCATGAGAAAACTGACTCTGCTGTGGAGGTTGCTGTACAGTCTTTGATAATTAGTTATTGGTCCTTTGTGAAAAGCATATTCTAGTCACTATTGTTTCTATGTCAAAACTTTCTAGGTTTTTATTATATTTTGTTGCTTTTGCTTCTAGTAGAGTTTGTTTTCTCAGAATGTATTTTTACCGTACTTCTTTTGGGGCCAGGTTGTAGGCGTTTTTTTTTCTAGCATTTTGAAGTGACGACTGCATCTTTACGACGGTTTGATAAATTTGAGACAGCTTTTGAACGTCTCGAGTGTTCTCTCAAGTACTGGTCTTTCAGGACTTTGCAAGACAAACAATAGCAATGTTATCGCTAGGCGGATGATAGCTGGTTGAGTCGGGCTTTGCAAGAGGTGGAGTGAAAGACATGTTATACATAGGGTTCTTTGTTTTCGGGTTTTATTTTTGTTGAGGACCATTTTAACGTCTGCCAAGTTTTATCTCGTTCCGATGGTTGTGTCCCCATTGTCCTCCCTGTCCTTGTTTAGGGTTGCCTTTCCCTTTTTGTGCCCCCTAGTTTAGAGGCTCGCTCAAAGCTCCCAAAGTCTTCAATGGGTTTTGACCATTTTCCTTGATTTTCTTTTGTGTGCTTTTACGCTTAGTGTCATAGTCTAAAACAACTTGAGAAAAAAAATATTTTGGTAAAATGACATCAAAATTTTTAAAAATAAACAAAATTCCCTCGTTTAGGAAATTATATCGCGGACATGAAGATAAAAATAAAACCCGAAAACGAAGAATCCTAGTTATACATTGTATCCACTGATACTTACCGTAAAATACCGGGCAAGTGCCCACTCAAAATTTTGAGATAATCATGAAAAAATGGGGGATGGGCACTTGTCCGGTCATCAATTCTACATATCAATGTACTGTGCATATTTTCTCAGATTTTACAAATTTGGGAATGGGCGCTTAATGTGGTATGGGCGGATGCACGGTATTCTACGGTAGAAGTAGTAAAATAATAATGATAATAAAACCTCGGATAGTTTTTAAAAGCAAAAATTACACACAAAAAATATTTTTTTCTTAAAACGTTGAGTTGCACATTCAGACTATTACAAGCATAATTTAACACAATATTTAGGGTTTTTTATTTTATTTTTTTTTAGGGGGAAGGAGGGGGTTTTGTTTTGTTACAGCACTAGCTAGGTTATGTCTACAGGATCTTCAGGTCTAGGACCTGGATGTGAATTCTCTTTTTTTTTTTAGGTTGAATATTAGGAGAGTGCACACAAGGCTTGGGCTTCTGGAGATTCGAGAATACCGAATTTCAACATGCGATATCTTTCTTGCTGTAATGCTAAAGCTATAAGAACGAGTTAGTTGCACTCTGTTATTTGTAGAATAGTTTGGATAATCTTTTATGCGTTTTACATACTTTTTGCTACGGTGTTTTTGTGAGAGTACAAAAAAAGAGCTAGGCAGAAATGTTTGCTATATAGTAGTAGTGACCATCCTTGCAAACTAACATACAAAATGTACCACCAAAATTTTTAATTATTTTTAATTGCAAAAACTAATCACGATTACCGAACCAATTTTGCGTAACTTAAGCGTTGTCTTGTTCAAAAGTTATACTAAATTATTTATTTTATATTTTCACTAGGAAAATGGTGGCCCAATGGAGCCCTCAAATTTGTGGGTCTGAATGGCACCAGGGACTCAGAACTGGCCCCATTTTGGGACCAGTTCTCAAGGTCACATTGGTCAGACAAAGACCGTCTGCCTACCTGTTTGAAGTATGTATGATGAAGCAAATTTCACGCTTCGAACAAACCCCCGCGTCTTTTGTAAAGGAGTTTTAAAATTGCACCACCTGCTGGCCATTTCTGTTTTCTTTTTTTTTCCTTATCCAGTCTTTCCTTCGTACCTGGCCGATACGGGTTGGCCGCACTTCCTCCGACGCCCGTCGAAGGAGTGACATCTGTGTGCAAATCACTCCTCCGACGCCAGAAGTGACGTAACGGAAGTGACGTCACCTTGTTAATTATTAATAACTAATATAAATCATTACTACATACATAATATAATGCGCCTTTGAAAATAAGTACAAATAAAAATAAACCCGTTCGATTTCAATGTAGCTTTACAGTAAAAGGTCACGTGACTAAACATTTTTGTCACAACATTTGTTTATTTACAACTTTTTAAACGCAGCCTGACAAAAGTTGTGAGTTATAAAAATAGTATTAATGCATATAAATACATTTTTATTGTCTTTGTGTCACGTGACGTTATTATCGTGGGCGTGGCTGCCGTGGCCCTAGCGCGTGCGTCGCGTGCGGTAGTGTGCTCCGAATCCGAATCGGCTGTCCCTTGCACTGTACCGTACATTGCACGCTCCTCCAGCCCGGGCGCTCGTCCTGTGAAAAAAACGTCTCGCAGCTGATCTCGTGCCCGTAGCCTTCGTTACACTGCCAGCGAGCGGAACATAGCACGACGCTCAATGCTTTCTTGCACCGGCGGTAGTGACGGCCGGCCGAGTGCGCCCGCGCGCTTAGATGGGTGTTCGCTGTTGCAAAGACCTTATCATTGATTATCGCACCTAATGAGTAGTTTTCAACGAGCCAACAGCTGAGTTACGTTAAGGTTCTCAGTTACAGGTGGTAAGTGTGCGTAACCCAGCTGCAAAAAGGTTGAACGGATAGGAGCGACCCCCGGGACCTCCCGCGGAACCCCGGGAGGGAACGGGGGTGGGAGGGGGGAGGGGGGTCGTTGCGGGTACGCCAGTTAGATTTAAAACTGGGTCCACTTGGATTCACTACTACTGAGATATGCCGGTTCCAGTTGGGAACCAATGGAGACCTAACTGGGAATCAACTTGAAGCAAAGAATTGTAACTGCAGATTTAACTCAATTTGTAATCATGCATATTAATTTTACATATTATGCATTTGTTCTTTGTGTTTGTTTTTATATAGAACCAGATTTAGTTTTTTCTTCTGAGGCTGATTTTTGTGTAGGTGTTGACACTTGCGCCTTCGATCAAACCGAGCAGTACTGAAAAGGTGTGCCCACCATATGACACACTCACGGTTAAAGCTGACCGGACCACTCGGTCACATATGTTGCCTGGCCCTGTCACTGCAGTAGAATGCGTAGAGTGTTATCAGAGTAGAATGTGATACATGGTAATAAAACCCGAGACCCAGGAACACAGAAGGGGACGAATGTATGAATGTGATACTCGACTCATTCAGTGAGCGCGTCGCCCTCACCGTCCTGCAACTCTATTAAATAGCAGCGTATACTCTCTGTTGTGTCTACAAGCTAATCCTGGCTGCTGGTAGACGAGGACGAAGAGGAAGGGGGATACGAACGGAGCACGAGATGGAGCAGCTGGTTTTTCTGTACTGTCTGACATAGGCGTTCGTATTAAAAACACAATTGGTGCAGTCGACAGGACTCTAGGACTCCTACATGAGTCTGAACTTTCCCTAAAATCTGCTCTTGCCATCGCCTCTCCAGTTGAGCAAGCGATGAAGGAGGCCAAGCTCTTGACGGAAGAGGGATCCAGTTCACAAGTGGCAAAAATAAAAGCCAAAAATTCGAGGGCAAGTCCCAGCAAGTCGTCCGGCACTTGTTACAGATGTGGATCACCGCACCACATGGCGGACCATCCTAAGTGTTGGCAAAGAATGAAGCTTGCAGAAAATGCAACAAGAAGGGACACTTCGCCTCCGTTTGCAAGCAGGGTGTTTCACAAGCAAAATCCCATGTACGAAGAGTGGAACAAGCGCACGACCAAGTCCAGGTGCTAACTACCAGCTTTACCAAACAATCGGTTACGTGCGAGATACATCTGGCACATGTTCCCACCAAACGTTTAGTCGACACAAGTTCATCCGTTTCAATCCTGCCAAAAGACGTCTACCGAAGACACTTCCACTCTTACAAGTTGGAATGTTTGAATACAACACTTCTGGACTACTCTGGAAAAGACATTCCCGTTCTGGGGAAATTCGACGCACCGGTACAGTTTGCTCAAAGACGCAGCACCTGCACATTTCACGTCGTACGAACAGGCGTGGCTGTCATGGGCCTAAACGCCTTTTGTGCATTGGACATCCAACTAAACTTTGCTCCTCCCACCGGAGGACAGGTGGCAACGGTCTCCGCGAGAAACCTTCCAGAGATCACACAAGACTTACCCCATCTGTTCTCCGAGGGATTAGGTCATGCGAAAGGATTTGTACATAAGGTAAAGACAAAAGATTCCGTCGCTCCTTTCCAACAAAAGCTACCAAGACTACCTTTCGCAGTGCGGGAGAAAGTTTCTGAGGAACTGGTGAAGCTGGAACACTCCGGGGTTATCGAGCGCATCGATGCTTCGGAGTGGGTGTCTCCCATCGTAGTGGCCCGCAAAAAGAATGGGCAGATCCGGCTCTGTGTAGGCCTATGCAAGCCGAACACTGCAATAGTTTTGGATTCCCACCCTCTACCGTGCCCCGACAAACTTTTTCATCAGCTTTCCGGTGCCCACATCTTCAGCAAGCTAGACCTCTCATTGGCATAACACCAGTTGGACCTGGCAGAGAAAAGCAGAGACCTAACGGCATTTGTGGCACATGAATGTCTCTTCAGGTTCACCAGAGTATGTTTCGGGCTGGCATCCGCTGCCCCTGCCTTTCAAAAATGATGGACTGCATACTCTGAGGTACTCCAGGTACCATCGTCTACCTGGATGATGTACTTATTTTCGGGCGCACAAGAGAAGAGCACGATGCCCGCCTGAGGCAAGTTCTTTCACGCCTTCAAGATGCAGGCTTGAAACTAA